AGTCAACACTTTTAAAAATTTTAACAATACTCTCCATAATTTAAAATTCATAAAAAAATCTAAAAATTAATAATCAAACCCTTTATTTATACCATAATTTTATCAATAATATAAAATTTTGTACGAGTTTTAACTTAAAGAGAGTATTGATTAAGGGTAAAAATTATAAAGAGTGTTAATAAAAAAAATAATATGTATGGGACAAATAAGGGATTCGGCAAAAAAAAAAAAAAAGGCATATCAATCTTTATTCTATGAAATCAAAATACAAAAACACCATTAATAAATAACAATCTTTAAAAACTAACAATAAATTTTCATATTTAATTTGTATATAATGCATCTCAATTTTCAAATCTATCAAACAAATGGATCATACCAGCGAAAGGATTAAGCATGCAAGAACTGGCCCAAATCAGACTTTTGATTGGTAGTCCACTCTTTACATAGGCCCATACATTAGAGCCCATAGGAAAATTTCCCTCCAGGGGCATTCCGGACAATAAAGTACAAACTCTCTGTTCTCTGGATCAAGCTGGTAATAACGTGCACTCTGCAGCACTCGCTTTTGAAACGCAGGAACAATGTCAATTAAGAACTCTGAAAACCCTAGAAAATGGCGGTTCACCTGGGAGACACAGTCTCACTCTCCAACTCTCCGTCTATTCCTCTTCGATTCTCACACAAAACCTTTGCTGCATTGCAAGAACCTCAACGCCCATCTGAATCTCTCACAATCTCAGCTTTTCTTTTCATGGCTGCAAGGGGAAGACGCTGAAGAACTCTCGCTTAGAGTTCCGATTCCTAGGGTTTTGATCGACCCTGAATCTCCGGTCTCCTTGAGAGCTTTGGATGATCACATTGAGGCCAAGCTCGTGCTGCTTCTCCCCGTTGATCATCCTATAGTTTCTAGTTTTGATTCGGTGCTGAGTTTTTCTGGTGACGGCGATAATGTAGCTCCAGAGGCAGAGGAACCACTAAAAATGGACTCTGGTGAGTAATAAAAATATGTTTGATGCCAATTGGATTTCTTTCTGCTTGGTGATAATGAAAATTACGTGAAAAGGGTTAGATATATGATCTGATATGGTTAGTTGAGCTGAAGTTTTTCTCTTTACTTGAAAATTTTGAGTTGGTTTATGAGTGTTAAATCCATTTTCAGTGCTTCCCAAATTTGTTATCTTCTTGTATGCTTTTACTCAGTGGTTTATTGTTTTGGTTAGATTTGAAGAGTCTGTCATCAATTGAAGGAGGGGTGCACTTTTATTGCAGAAGTTGCTCGACTAGGCTTACTAGGAGTCCTCTTAGGTAAGACAAGTTTTTTCTTTGTTATGCTTATTTGAGTTATCTGTTTCCACTTTCCAGTTTATGTATTTCTTTTGTAATTTGTGTTGGATGCTTTTCTATTTCTTGTATTTTCACCAGTGGTGATCTTCTATCGAGTATTACTGTGCTTGCTGTTGTTGCTAGTTTTAACTTTTCATTAGACTTTATGTGTAACATCTTTAGATCCAATTTAGGTTGTTAATTTACTGCATTAGTATTCAATGTCTGTAAGTCCGTTTGATATTTGCATCCATCTGTAATTATTTTGAGATATTTAATTAATGTATGTAGACATTTTGTGGAAATGCCATCACTGGACTGGCAAGAGGTAGCAGATAATTGGTTTGGAGCTTGCTGCTGTTCTTTTGGTGGTATAAGTGAGAAGTTGGTGACTATGTATGCAAATTCCTATAAATGTGCAAGTGGTGTGTGCCTAGTAAACCCTACAACTGTTATTCTTTGCAAAGATGATCTCCTGGAGTCTGAATTATATAATTGGACTCAGGAAGGTCAAACTGAACCAGATTTTGCTAGTTCCAATAATTCAGACGAAGCTACATTACACCCTGTAAGCATCCTCAGAAAAGTCTCTAGCTGTGGCAATCAGAGAGAAATAATGCATGATGTTAATGAGAAATTAAGCTCCATGCATCTCGAAGATAACCTTGCTGCAAATGTGCAAGTTACCAATGAAGGAAGCCACAGCCATAAAGTACCTTCTGCATTGGCTACATCAGATGAAAATGTGGCATCAATGCCACATTGTTGTCTTCATATGACAGATAATGTTGATGAAACAGGCAAACATAATGCTTCTGGCACTTACCAAGTGGACCAAAAACCTAAGCTCTTGCCTGATCAGAAATTGTTCCTTAATGGTTTTCTTGGAACTGCTTTCATGGCTAGATCGTCAAATCTTTCAACTAGTATAAAGTGGGTTGAACTTCTGTGCCCTCAATGTTTATCTCTGCTTGGAGCATACCCTTCTGGTAATGATCTCAAACCGACTGATGGTGGAGTTCGTCTCTTTAAATGCCACATTTCTACTTCTTCTCCTGCTGGTGGGTCAGGTGACTTATTCAGGCAAGAATATTTGGTTCTCCCTTTTTCTTTTTCTTTTTCATTTTCTGTATTTTGTTTAATAAGTACAGATATCTGTATGAAAGATATTTAGGCTTGCTTCTCAAACTTTGGAGTGAAACATCTTAAATCAATTTACTTAAAGTAAATCTTCTCATTGTTATTAGTAGTTTCTAAGAAATGATTTTGCTTGATATGGCATCCTAATGATCTGGATCTTGAATCTCTACATGGTTGGCCAAGTTCCATTTCCATTATCCATATATTAGATTTAGGATACTAGTTCATAAAAAGTGGCCTCAGCACTTTGTTTTCTTTTTGCTAATACATAAATTTGCTTATCATGGACAGGAAACATACTTTGGAAAGAATGTTCACAAATCAGCTGCTGGAAAGTGCAAAAGATGAACTATCTTTCAGGACTGTGATCAGAGATTTGAAAACCAAGTCTCCTATGCTGCAAATTATTCTTCTAAACCCAAATTCTTGGTGCTGCACAGGTTATTGTTTGGGAACAGGTAGTGCTGTGGAATCAGTTATGAAGCCGAATTTGCTTCCTGTCATAAAGGTGCTCTTTTCTGCTTGCAGCAACCTTCGAGAATCCCAGTTAAGGTTAGTTTGTTAATTTAGCTCTTGTGAGAGAATACATTTGTCATAATACAAAATAATCTAGTGGGAAAAGTCATGTGAAGTTCCAACACCATGCACGTATACCTATTCGCTTGTTCATCAACACAAGTTACCACTATCGGTATCAAGGTTTTGTATAATGCATTAATCAATTCATGTTTCTCTACCATAGTAGTTCTAAAGTAGGCAGTGTTTGTGCAGGATGCTGGATGATTGGGTAAAAAGGAATCAAGCTGATGAAGTTTTTATGTTTACACGTCAAGTAGATGAGTTGTTTGAAGCTCTGGCATCAAGGAAAGATACACTTCCACCTTCATGTAATTCTCTCCAAGGTTTACCTGTGTCATCCTTGCAGCCCTAAGGTGATTTTTTTTGTTCTATTATCTTGGGTTACACAATGAGAGGCAACCTTGAAGTGATTAGTCGAAGTTGTGATGTGTAAATCAAATGCATGAGTATAATGACCACAATTTTTTGCCAGTCCGGACTGGAAATTTAGAATCTAAATTAAAACCAAGGTGAATAATGGACCAACTGTGGGGTGAGGATATTTGGTGTAGCAATAGCCGCAAACCACGACCAATGACTGATATCTTTATCTCAAAGTTTGTAAGTTTGACGCCTGTCTTTGCCCCAGAGCTGGCCCATGGCTTAAACAACTAACGTGGCGATGTCAGCGGTTCCATTGCAACGTGCAAGCAAAAGATGGCATACACCTTGAACTGTCTGGCTCATTGCTACATCATATATAAAAACCATCTTCATTAACAGTTTCGATCCATAGCTCCATCAAGAAGAAGACATTCATTTCCCCAGAAATGGAAGATTATCAGAACACGTACGGTGCAGTCCCCCGAACTGATGAGCATGGCAACCCAGTTCGCCCAACAGACGATTTTGGCCGTCCGGTTGAGCATGCTGGCACCATAGGGGAACATCACAAAGAGCATCATGGGGTTTCCGGAGTTCTCCATCGCTCTGGAAGCTCAACCTCCTCCGTAAGTCTCTCAGACAAAATCAATGGCAGATGATTCATTCATTCATCTATCTGTTTGGTTTTCTGATATTTGTATTTTATGTATGTTCCTATGTGCAGTCATCTGAGGATGACGGGCATGGCGGGAGGAGGAAGAAGAAGGGCCTCAAGGACAAGATAAAGGAGAAGCTACCAGGATCTCACAACGAGCAGCCTCATGCTCCATCGACTACTACACCAGGTTATACTGAAACGCACGAGAAGAAAGGCGTGATGGACAAGATCAAGGAGAAGCTCCCTGGACACCATTAGGGTGCCTGCAACTCATAATCATGCATGATACGTACCTCATAAAGCTCCCTGTGGATTACATACACAGGACACCTTACATAAGTGTTCGCTACAGTCGAGCACTGAGAATAATGACAGTGTATAATAATACAGTGATGTTTGTGCGCTCATAATAAGCTCCAAGTCTCTCTCTGTATGTTAAATTCAGTTTGTAGTTTTAAAACAAAGAGTCAAATCTAGAAAATCTCCCTTCTAATTATACATTAGTTTTCCGGTTTCCTGTTCTTTCTTCCTCAGTCAAAGTCTAAATTACTGATGAAAACCGAGCAAACTAGTTCTGCCCGTTATAAACTGCTAGGAAAATTGTCATAACATGTACATGATTTACATCCACTAGTGTCAAAAATGGATAGAAATATGTAAAGAGATGGCGAAATTGGCACCCATTCTAGACGTTTACCATCTTCGTTGCTCTGCTGGAAACTTGCCTTTTGAAGGGGAATGTCAATGTGAGCCCTTTTTAGACTTCTTCAAAACTTCTCTAAGCACTGCAGCAATTCTGTGTGCCATGTGATGTTCTAGAAATCTTTCTTTGACCCTCACATAACCTCTCTTCCCCATTGTAAGTCTCCTCTCCACATGAGTAGCAAGTTTGACTATGTTTTTCGCAAGAGGACTAACCCCTTCTTTCCCAACAGGATGCAAGAAACCAGTAGTCCCATTCACTACAATCTCTGTGGTGCCGCCTGCCGCTGTTCCCTGATATTGATGATTTCCAGAAAACCATAATATGTGAGTATCAGAGAATCCTCTTTGGCTAGGACCGGGCTCGCATATATCATGTCCATCATAATATTACATAACGTGTCTCACACACGGAACAGAGCAAAAAATTTAAAAGGGCAAAGTTTATAGATTACCAGTACTGGTAGCTGAAAAGCCATTGCTTCAATGGTTATCCTCCCAAAGCATTCTCCTCGTGCCTATATGAGAAAGGGGGGTAAAAATTTTCGTAAGGACTTCCCGTTCCGAGTAAACTTTGGTAGGGAACACGGAATTCTAAATGAATCAACAATACATTACGGTAGAAGAGAATAGAAGGATAGAAGAAAAAGGTTGAATTACAAAAACCAACTGAAATCAAGTCATCAACACCTGTCAGGTATTAAGGTATAAACTAAATTAGAACAGATTTATAAGATGCATGGGACACTTAATCAATATCGAATACAAATTAAAATAGCTAATTATACTAAATGAAATACAAGCTGAAAAAGATTACCTGGAAATTCATGGGACACTTAATCAACATTGAATACAAAGTTAAAATAGCTAATTATACTAAATGAAATACAAGCTGAAAAAAGATTACCTGGGAATTCTGAACAAGAACATCGATTGCAGCCAAGTAAGGGGCTACATTCAAGGTTTTATTCACAAAATGAACACGATCTTGAATTTTCTTCTGCATTACATATTCTCTCAATTCTGTTTCAAGCTTAGTATGAGCATTCATGTCACTTCCTACAATTACTGCATGTAATGGTGGCACCGGCAGCTTCTTTTCCTTGATCATTTGTAAGCTTTCATAAAATGAACGTAGAAACAGATCTTGTCCTTTTCCACGTGAAACACCTGCATTTCAATGCACTCGTTTTTGTTACCAGACTAGGCTGACACCGCTGACCTAGAAGGTTAGATAAGTGCTCTAAAAAATGCTGGATAGAGCAGAGTAAGGAGGATGTTTAATAGGAATAATAAAATTCATGAAAGAGAAGAGAAATCATAATGAAAAAGAAAAGGATCTTATAATCATATAAAGCATACTATTTATCAAAGCAAAGAGTAAATCTTCATTGCGCACTCCAAGGGACTCGCGGACATGCTCACGTAAAACCCTTTTCGCCACACCATCTTCAGCAACTTCCATAAGCTCCTTGCTATTTCCAAGGTGAACAACATAGGTCTCAGGCATATTGATCCTGCAGAAACCAAGGAAGTAGAATCAGAAAATTCTGGCACAACAAATTAGTGAGTATAATTAACCT